AGTGTAGTTGCAGCTCCTTGCCACTAGGCCATGAGAGCTCCCCCTAACATCCAGGTTTAAGAGCCCCTGCACGCAGATGCTGACACTGAAAACCCACCTAGAGGCACACTGCAGACAGACCTGCTGATGGGGGACAAGGGGGTTTGTCTCCACTGTTCCACTCCACACACAGTCAGGGCAGAACAGATAGCAACTAACATCAGCGTGAAAGGTCCCCAGTGACGTGGAAAATTCTCATGAATTCCAGACTTTCTGGAGCCATAACCCCTGAAATGTCTCCCTGAGGAGTTGTTAAGCTTTACACTTAAAAACAAAAATACCCTCTGAAGTCATTTTAATACCAAACAGTTAAGTGCTGTAGACTCTGTAACTCATAGTGGCCCTTTTCAGCTAAGACAGAGAAGAATGAGAGAGCCAGTGAGCTCTGGTAGTCTTGGTAGTAAGGAGCTGCACTGCCAACCTGCAGGGATGTGGTTAAAATCAACAGCTGATATGCTGGAGATAGATGACCAAGCTCGTGTGCAATACTGCCTATGAAAACTGGTTGGGAGGTCAGCTATGAGTCGGTTTGGACCTGATGGCACATAACAATAAAGAATAAGGGAGCTCTGATGGGCAAGAAATTGTACTGCAAACCGGAAAGCAGGAGGTTCTAATCCACTTGCCATTCCTTGGGAGAAAGATGGGCAATTCTCTCCTGTGTGACTTACAGTCTCTGAAAATATGCACGGCGAGTCAGCTATGAATTAGTTCCAAGTTGAAGGCAATGAGACAGAGGATATGAAACCTCTCAGTAAACCCACCTTTCTTCTCAGTTGTATTTCCGCTTTAGTCAGAAAAGGAATATAGGCCTTTTTATTGACTAAGTAGAACAAACTAAATACATATTTAACAGTTTGGGTTCATTTATACAGAACGTTAAATAAGTTATGCACAGAGTGAAAGTAACAAAAAGTTCCTTCAAATGACAAAAGCACAAAAACCAGATGAACGCATCCTGTGGGTGGTTTCACATTCATCAGCTCCCTTTAACTCCATGCTTGGAGGCCTATGTTTCTGTTTATTTACATTCTTGACTTTCTTTTATGGATGGAACTTTTGCAGCCTCATCAAAAACCTGGAAAGCCACAAAAGTGGACTGAAGACCTCTGAGGCCAAACAGCCCTTTCACCCACTCGCCTAATGCTTATTGCTGCTGCTTGGCCGACTCCACGTGGGGACGGGGCTGTCCCTAACAGACACTGGCACACTTGCCCTATTTGGTATAAGCATCAAGAGTGTACACGCGGCAGTTGTAGGCCTGAGCAGATGCAGCCTGCAGGGGGCGCTCTATGTCTGGCGCTCCATGGAAGGGCAAAGGGGTTTAGGCAAGTCCCACCCCTCATGCTTCCCAACCTTCTCCTGGCTCATGATAGAAAAGGTCACCTGCACCACTGTCTTTGGAAATGAGCATGTCAACGCACAAGGGGCAGAGTTAGCCAATGTTTTGGTTTCATAAGAACGAGCCACTCGGAGCTGGAAGGGCACCATTCAAGACTGCACCCACCCAGCACTCACCCCGATGTGGGCAGGATTTCTCTGAGCCAGTCACCCAGCTCATGCTGGAACAATGCAGGTCCCTCAGGATTTTCTTACATTTGGTTCAAACGTGCCATCATCTAGTTCTTTGTAAACAGCCAAAAAGAATCTTTAAGAGTGTTGGCTTGGTCCCCTGACCTGGGAGCATGGAGATTTGGTTTCTAGTACAGTTCCAAAACCTCCAAACTCTCTTTTATTTAAAGTGTTCAGCCATGAGCCTTTATGGAGTTTTCAGGACTACAACTGTCTTATCTGTGCTTCTGCTCTGGAGAACTTCCTACGACCGCTGTGCTGCTGAAACCGCAAGCCCACTTCACTCACTCTCTCTGCTGATGCCACTCAGAAGAGTGTCCATATCCTTTCACACCAGTTACGGAACCAGGGGCTCAAGACAGTTTTGGGACGGGGCAGTAGAAAGCCAAGTTAATTTTTTGGTCTGTTACCTGTGGATGCTCACAACCAGATGTGAGGAGTAACTGGCCCACATTGGCAAAGGAAATGGACTTTGCAGAGGGCAGCAGGTGCGCACAGTCAGGCACACGTGTGTGCTGTTGCCAGACTGCATCATTCATCTATTGGGCCCTGGGATGAATGGGAGACATTTATGACTCAACAATATCCTAGATAAGCCCCCACCCCCACCCCCACCATCAGGTTGCACAGCCAGGCCTGAGATCTTCTGGAACCTCAGTCCTAGAGTTCAGGAACCCTCCAAGGCGGAGTCTTCCCTCATTTTATGAGGTGGATTGCTTACTCCTGAACAGATACACTCACACAACTTCTCGAGGGTCACTGCTCTGCCATGGGGTGAGTTCATGCATGTTGTAGACCAGTGGGGGTTCCAAAGAACAATCAAAGATAGGGTGACCCTCCCCTTAAGTACCTCTCAGTAGATATAAAGGTAGTCCCTTTTTCTGGTCAACTTTTGGTCTTCTGAGTCCCTGGGTGGCACTGATGATTGAGAACCTGGGTATTAACCAAAAGGCTGGAAGTCTGAAAGGCCAGGGGATCTAGTTTTGAAAGCCACTGAAGCCCTGGGGAGCATAGTCCTATTCTACAACACTCAAGTATCATGAGTCAGAATCAACTCAATCCCACTCCCGTCTGTTTGGCTTTTTGGGCCTTCTCTGGTTCCTGCAACCATCTCTTATTTGGCAGAGGGTCATGATACCCGATCATACATTTCATCCTCCAGACATGATCCAACACTCAAGTGCTACATTTGCTTCTGATTCTTCGGATACCACTGATTAACCTATTTCCAGTACCACCCGCCCCAGGCCCTTTCTGACCTTTTTTAGTGTCTCCACCCCCAAATAAACCAAGCCTAGTCCTCTAAAGAGCCCAACTACATCATCATTAAAATAATTTTTCTTTTAAATCTAGCTGTAGGTGATTGAGGAGCTTGACCTTCCAGTCCCAGCTGGTAGCTGAGCTGGTGTTTGCAGACAGGAAGCCTGGGCACATCTCTGCTCCTCTGCTGTGTCCTCACTTGGCCAGGCTCCTCCCTTTCAGCCTGCAGAGAGCTAAAGAAACGGACTCTTAAATCTGAAAAGGAAATGAGCAGAATGAACATGCCCAGGTTTTCACACTGGCCTCTGGGTAACAAAGAATATTTCAATATTCTTTGAATATTTCAAAGACTCTGAAAATTAATGTCATTAGGAACATGTCCATAATAGTAGGCCATGACCTCCACATTAAAGCCAAACCTTTGCTGTGGAAGTGGACATTAAGCCCTAGTAAGCATTCTTTTTGTTGGTATTGGCTCTTTATTCCTAACCATTAAAAGCTGAGCTACCCTGACTTGTCTTGTGGCCACTGGAAATTTAAAAAACCTGCCGAGGTGTTTATCCAACTGTTGTTAACAATGAAGGGACAACAAGCCCAGGACAGACCTGATGCATATCAAGCGGCAAAGTCCTGCTTGGACTTACAGGCTTCATGACCTCTTCAAGGTGACCAGGCACGTGACACACCACATCTTGGCAGGCAGGTTGGAGGCTCCAAGGTAGAAAAGGGTAAGGGTCCTTGGGTTTCCAGCAAAACCTGACCCGGGAAGAAGTGTAAGTATGACAGGTCCAAACCTGTGAATAAGGGCCAGGATAGGTCAGACTTGGGGCAAGTTAATCAGTTGGAAACCCCTCTCATGAAGGATTGGTCAGATTCTCCTAAAATAGTTCTCACATTTTACAAAATTCTTCATAGTCAAAAGAAGGAAGATATCGAACTAGAGAAGGGAAACAAGAGATTGTATGCTTAATAGTAACCAATGTTGGTTGTTAAACTGATATAGTACATCTGACACAAAACTATTGAGGTCGGAAGAACTTTCAGATCCAGGAGGGCTGCTCAGATGTGATTAGGGCTTGGCGGTTAGAGCAAGTCCTACCACACACCACTGTGCAGCCTGTGGGGCAAGTGTAGCTCAACAGGTGCTAACTAGAGACCATGCGAGCCATCCAGTGACCTGGACATGCACCATCTGAGATTAAAGGACACAGAGGAGACGACTGTGCAAACAGTCAAGCGCTGACAAAGGCTCTGTATTTCCAATAGGTGATCCATTCAATAATTTGATGATACTATTTTGGCCAACATGCTCAGAGAAAACAGACTGTCCACAACTGAGTCTTATTCTCTCTCAGACCAATCCATGCGCTGGAAACGATTTTCTGCACAAGCAAAATCAAATGAGAAAACCAATGGTCTTAAACAAAAGTAGCCAGCTAGGCTGGGAGATCTTGTCCAAAATGGTCTGTGATGCTTGGAGGAAGTTTGTTTTACTAAAGGTGATTTTATTTGGAAATAATGACTTCTTGCCCATTGTTTCTGAGTCTTTTCTGAACAGCAGGGCTGAGGAGGAGGGAGTCCTGAGTGACGCTTTTTGCCGCCTGCCCAAGTCCCTGGGCGCCATCAGCGTCATCTGCTGAGGGTGGAAATGGGGCTCAAGGAAGAGTTGAGGTGGGAGGGGTTCCTCCGTGTTGGGGACACTGGTCCAGGCCCAGTGAAGAAAGGTGATGGAGTGGAAGACAGTGCATGGGACAGAGTTGCTCCAGCTGGGCCAGGCAGATTGTTGTGCAAGAGCAGGGAAGGGAAAGGAGGGAGCTGGTGGTCTACACTGCAGAGGGGCCAGGGAGGCCAGCTTCAGCTGAGAAAACGAACCAGGAAAGCCGCAGGGGAGGTGGCTTAAACTAGCTCCTGTGTGCAGAGAGAATGGCACTCTAGCCCCACCAAGATAAACATGGCTGATGGGGACTGGGGCAAGTGCCCAGAGAGGCTTACACTTTTCCTGCCTCTAGTTCATTTTTTGCTGATGACCCAATGGCTACTTGTACTGGTTCCAACCACACCCCACACTGACACCTTGGTACAGAGTAAGTGTTTAGATGAGCTGAGTGGTCATCAGTGGAGTTCAGGGCTCAGAGCCCATTGGTATCGATGGCTGTCACGGAGGCAGGAGTTGAGGAGCGTGAGGTGGTTGCCGAAGTCTTATCCAGTGCTGGGCTTGGCACGCTGCAGTCAGCTGACCTGGCTGAGGAGCCCCTCCCTCCAGGAAGCAGTGGCCGGCTCTGGCTGTGTGGACTCTGGCCATGCAGGTTCTGACCACAGAGGCGATGGTGTCGCTCCCAGTCCTTGTGCTGACAGAAAGAGCCACAGTACCGCGCAATGTTGCAGCCACTGCACGTCTCGCTGGCTTTGCGGCCACAGTTCCAGCAGTTCTGTAAGACACAGGCATCAACTGTTAGTGGCTGTGGGGGCCCTGGAAAGAGTCTTGCCATCACCAGGAGAATAAAGGGGTGCATGGGAAGTGCATAGGCTTTGGAGTTACACATCTCTGTGGCTAAGCCCTGCCGATGTGGCCACAGCACATACACACACAGCCCTTACCTGCTCCTGGGACAATGACACAGTGAGATGAGCAGATGCACGAAAAGATACCTTGCATGGAACCAGCACTCAGTGGGTGGCAGTCCCCAACTCATTTTCTGGATGCAAGCTTTAACTTGTACCCCACCGCAACCAAACTTTTTTGTCTTGTTGGCCCACAAGGGTCCATGCAGCTCTCTGTTCTAAGACCACACAGTCACCCACGTATTTATAAAGAAATGTGCTCTCTAAGGTAGGTTAAAAAAACTAGAAAAAGAACTGTGTTCTCTCCTGCTGTTCCCAGGGAAGAACTGTCAATATTTTAAGTGACAATACCTGATCAAAGAGCTCAGAACTGATTCCTCATGGTTTAGTTACGGCCAAGGCAGTGAACTGGAACAGACTCAAATTTATAAAATGAGGGAACTGGAATAACTGGAATGGCAAAAATTACGGGCTGAAGTTACAGCACACTGCTCAGAGGCAGTCACCCTGTGTGGGGTCACCCTCCCGTGTCCTGCTGGTCATCGTGCATCAGGCTCCTGAAAGGGCTCACCAGACCTCTTCCGAGTCTCTTGCCCAAGGCTGTGACTTGTACTTCTCTCTTTCTGGTTACTGCTCTGAACCACTTATATTTTAAACACGCAGGTTTGTTCTGGTTTTGTATTGTTGGCCATCACTGAACCAATCTGAAGCACTGCTTTTATCTAAGCTTTTTAAAAGGGAATATGGCAATGACTGATCTTGAGCACAGCAGAGACGTGAGGCTAAGGGGGGTCACTCTGCAGGAGTGGACTCTACGGCATCTAATAACAGCAACAAAGGACAGTAACGGATCTTTTAAAAAAGTCACCTGCCTGGGAGCTAGGACAGACAGGAGTGGGGCAGCTGTGCTTCTGCTTCCTCTGCCCATTTTCCTTTTAATGTTGTGACTAAATCAGAGACGTGCTGAGGATCATAGGATATTTTCTGGCTTGTATACAGCGCCAGCTGCAGTATTTCAAACTCCATGGATCTAGGTTAGGGAGTTTTCTTACCATCTCTCCTTCCTTGAAGGAGGATTGGCAATGTTGGAGTTTAGCAGAAACCATGAGGGGGAAGAAGAGAGCACCAGATGGGAATGCACTCATTCCTACCATGGAAGAGAGAAGCCAAGTGAGGCTCGGTCTGAGTGGGAAACAGCAAGCATGAAGCAGTCACACTGAACAGATGACTATACTTTTCTCTCAATCAAGCAGGAAAGAAGAAAAACAGTTATAATGTTCTAAAAGAAGGCAGCCACCAGAAGCTTTCTCAGGCACCAGGTAACAGGAAGGCTTCTTTGGGTACCGGCTGACCTGCCTCCTCACTTATCAATCTAAAATGGTCACAGCCATGCACTGGGGCTAAGTTTCTAATCCCACCAAGAAAGAAAAATCATCACTGAAATCAGGACACTTTTCTTGACTCTAAAACAGGCAAGGAACCTTGAGGACATTAGTCCACTTTTTGTACTGTATAGATGGAAAAAAACCAAAGGCCCAAAGGGCAGGAACTTCTTGAAGGTTGTAAGATGATTATGTGGCAATGCCACCTAAGTATGGAAGTAATACCCTCTGACACTATGACAGGCAACAGAAATATTCAGTGTCAATAAGCATGGAAAAGATTACAGATTCCCTTCTAATGCAACAGGAATTCTCAGTGAATACACTTGAGGAAACTGGTAAAACTTGCCAACGCCATCACAGGACCAAAATAAAAGGCAGAAGGAATCTTAAGTTACATTTATAGATCTGCAAGCAAACTGCACTCCAGAGAATTTCCTTCTTTGGAGTCTGACAGGCTGACTTTAAACAATGCTTTGGCAGAAGATTATTGCTTGTGAGGAAGAATTCAGCTGTTGTCTACATGGGGCAGTGGGTTATAAGAGGGCAAGGAGCCTACTACCAACTGACTAAAAGGGCCTCAAATCTCAATTCCCTCTGCAAAGTCTGCGTGAACATCTCAGAACAAGGTCAGAGTAGAAAACTGCTATTACTATTATTTTTAAAGATAGTAATATTTAATGATTTATATATGTAATTTAAAAAAACCGAAAAAACCAAACTGTCTCTCATAGGGACAGGAACAGAAATGCAAGAACAATATGGTTAGTGTCAGAAAAGCCAAGGGCGAAAGGGGCAGTTTTATGTTCTTTCTTGTTACCTTTTCCATGACTTAGCGCTGAGGCTCTTTGCCAAGACATAAAACAAAAGCCTTATTGTTGTAGTCACCCTTCCAACAAGCATTCCTCAAAACTGGAGCAACATATTTGGCTAAACAGTGCTCTCTAGTTAACAGGGGAAGGTTATAAACCTTCCGAGTTATTGACCTTGGCAAGAGAAATCTGTGATCCCCGAATGTCCTCTTGTCAAGCAGAGTGTGGCCAGGACTACCTGAAGCAGAACTGCCTGGGGCTTGCCAAAATCTTGGGGCCCAGTGGGAGTTCCCTGATCTTACTGTAAAAGTGACCCACAGGAGAAAAGACAAAAAGCACCAGCAGTCCAGTGTCTGCCAGGGAATAACTAGTAGTCTATTGCCTGCCAGGAAATCCAGGCTAGAAACAACAAAGTCCTGGTGGGGCTAATGTGACCTCTCTCTCCATCCCTACACTACTAAATATCATAAGGGAGGGAGATGACTGAGTCTGGCCATGAAGAAGCTTTGACAGTTTACATGCTAATTAACAACACGGTAACAGAAATATTTCCATCTGTATTCGGCACTGTAGTTTCAAAGCACTTCTACCACTATAATCGAGTTTTCTGCATAGTTAACTATGAGCTGCATTCACTGAACCGTGAAGAAATTGGACTGGCGAGGGCACCTTCCCCTCTATAACCTCCTTTTCACAAGATGAACAAGAGACTTCAGCATACTTTCTGGACTTCGAAGCCTAGGCCCTGCCATTCCTGCTGTTTCGGGGCAGAGGTTTGCTTGCATGGGTACTGAGGTAATCTTCACCTGCAGGCCATTCTGCTTTTTTTGAAGTTCCAGATTGCTTAAAAGTCAGGACTTATATCCTCACAGTCAAGCTCTAGAGTTCATGTTTTTAAGCGCTACACTTCTCTGGAAACAGAAAAACAGCCTGAAAAACTGACCACAGAGGTGAATGCACACACTGAAGTAGATGGCTACAGATACCAAATTAGATCTAGACACCAGCATCAGAAATACACTGCTGTTCAAAACAAAGTAGAAATGGGAAAAGGCAGGAACTAAAGGAACTATTTTCTCACAATTCTGTCTTTGTTACTCCTGCTTTCTTTTTCCAATTTTACTTTAAACTCTTTGCTATTAAGTCAGAACCAACACACAGTTGAACCTCTAGCACGTTTTAGGAGGCTATAAATCACACTGTCCATCTTTCTTCTGTGGAGGTGCTGGTGGATTCGAAACCCCAGAGGCATCGCCTTTGGGCTGGCAGTGCAACTCCCTACAGACCTATGCCACCAGAATTTTGACAGTGGAATGATAGTGTTCACTACAGAAGAATAGCTAGCCCAGAGTTTAGGGCAGCTGTGCCTGATCTGCCATTACAGTTGATAAACAAGTATTCTATTGGTAACTATAGGATCTTGCCTTTCCTGACTCAGCACTGTGAGTTTATGGACTTTCTAGGAAGGAGTGTGGCATCAGGATTGGAGGAAGACTCATCAACAACCTGTGTTATACAGATGATACAACCTTGCTTTTTGAAACTGAGAAGGACCTGAAGCATTTGCTGCACAAGGTCAAACACTATTGTCTTCAATATGGATTGAAGCTTAACGTCAAGAAGACAAAGATTCTCACCACTGGGCCAACTGGCAGCACCATGATGGATGGAGAAGAGATTGAGGTTGTTAGCAAATACAGCTCACTTGGCTCCACAGTCAACATTCTTGGTACCAGCAGCCAGAAAATCAAAAGATGAATTGCATTGGGGAAAACCACTGTCAGGGACCTCACACCAAAGTGCTAATGAGCAATGATGTCAGTCTAGAGACTAACACGGTCTTCACAGTTACTTGCTGTGCATCAGAGAGCTGGACAATGACTAAAAATAACAGAAAAGAACTGATGCTTTTGAGTTGTGGTACTGGGGGAAGAATATTGAACATAATGTGGACTACCAGGAGAAAAAAACTAGGTCTGTCTTGGAGAGGGTGAAACCAAGTTTCTCCCTGGAGGCAAGGATTTTGAAGCTCTGTCTCACATACTTTAGGCACATGGTCAGGAAGGATCAGTCCTTGGAGAAGGATAACGTGATTGGAAGGGTGGAGGGAGAGTGCAGGAGACAAAGACCCCAGGTGAGATGGATTACATGGTGACTGGGGCGACGGGGTTAGGTGTGTTGGAGTCAGTAAGGCTGGCTCAGGATAGGGCAGGGTTCAGAACTGTTGTACAAAGCATTGCTGTGAGTTGCGGACAACTCAATCACACATAACAACGTAACAAGAACATATTCCTGGAGCCAGTTTCCTCATTTGCAAATTAGGGAATCAGCAGAACCCTGATTACAAAATCATTCTGAGGATCAAAAATGCATTATACACACTTTGCTCTGTGCGTCTGACAGATAATAAGCCCACTCAGTCAATAGACTCATTGCTATCATGCATTGACACACACTGTCTCTGGGATGAGGTTTCAGAATTTAAACCAATTAATGAGAAAACTCTAAGATACTTTAAGATATTAGTGTGCAAAAGAGACCTAGAAACGAGAATGCAATTAGTGAGAATGTTGATAATACTGTGGAAAAAATTTAATATCAGAGAGCAATTTGTGTAGAAATTGTCAGGTGACAATCAAATGGCTATATAAATTTAACAAATAAAATAGCTAAAAAAGTAAAACAAAAGAGGTATAAAACTCTCTGATATGCGATAAAAACTGTACTTGTGGAGTTTAAGAACTGATCACGTCTTCCAGCCCATCCTGGACACTGAAGCCTAACAGCTCTGACCTCCGTTGACTCCTCTTGCTCGTTGATGACCAGGAAGGCATCCTCAGCAGCCTGCCGTTTGACATCCGCGATGGTCTGCTCCATTCGTGCTCTTTCTGTGGCAATCACTTCAAAGGCTTTCTGTTCTGCCTCAGCCACAGCTTTCTGAACTTCTGACATGGCCTGGATTTTCACCTTATTCACAGCTTCTTCTAGAAGAAAGTGACAATATAATCAACTGGCCGAGAAATCTTCTCCCTCCCACTCTAATTTCTACAAAGGAACAGAGCTGAGGGATAAGGGAAAACATAGGGACAAACACAGAATATATGCATTCATTCTGATCTGTGTATCTGCTTGTCCAAACATGTAATCATTTGGTGGGTATGTGTACGGAGATGAGTGGATACAACTGCGTGACAAAGATATTGTGCATAGTCATAACATGATGACTGAGGATAAAGGTGGCTTAGACACTCAGATTTACGTCAGTGGTATAGATGAGTGCTCCATGGGAATGAGTCCTACATAACATGCTAAGGAATTTGACCTCTTCCCACCCCCAAAACCAGAACTTCCTGAAGGGAAGAACCTGAATTAAAGCAGAAGCCAGAGCTACTGTGAACAACGCTACAATGAAAACTTTTATATAAGCATCCTAGTCCCTGCTAGGGGTAAGAAGCTGCACAATTCAAAGGTATGAGGTTCAAATCCACCAGTTGCTTCATAGGAGAAAGATGTGCAATCTCCTCTTGTGTAATTATGTCTGAAAACTATGTGAAGCTTCCAACTTAATGATACATAACAACAACAATAATATCATTAAGGAGAGAATTTGCTGGATCATATGCTAACATTTTAGGAAATGCCACACAATCTTCCACTGCAGCTGTAGAATTTTACATTCCTAGCAGAAAATGAAGCTTTGAAGGGCAGGTTGTGGGCCACCAGAGGCCGCAGCTCCCCACAGCCAGCCACACACCCACCGCCACTCGAAGCCACAGCCACTGTGCTCTGGTCTGCTGCAAAATGGCAAAAGTCACTAGCCCCACAGAGACCGAGCAGTGCACTGAGTCCCTGACTGCCGTGTTTCAGAGGTACACTGGGCAGGACGGAAACAGCCTTACCCTCTCCAAAATGGAGATCCTGAAATTCATGAATACAGAACTGGCGGCCTTCACAAAGATCAGAAGGACCCTGGCGTCCTTGACCGCATGATGAAGAAACTGGACCTCAACGCTGATGGGAAGCTAGATTTCCAAGAATTTCTTAATCTTATTGGGGGCACTGCTCTGGCCTGCCATGACTCTTTCATGAAGCATGTTCACTAGCAAACCTGAAGCACCATTGCAACTGGCCAACAAGCTCAGCCCCTTCCCTCCAAGACCCACCGACCCCATGACTGTGACCACAGCCCACACACACCCTGATCTAGCCCACCCACTACCCCATTCAGGCCACCCCTGCTGGGACTAATAAGTATTCTGTTTTTTTAAAAACAAAACAAACAAAAACAAAAGAAAAAGCTTCAAATTTCTGCACCTGGTGTTTGTTTTTTTTTTTTCTTGGTTTAAAACCTTTTGTTAAAAAATTATTTTAAACAAGAGAGTAAGAAGAGAGTCTTACTGTGGTTTTGATTTGGATTTTCCTCGAAAGCACATTATTTATCCTCTCAATTTAAAGCTAAATCAACTGAAAACCATACTTTGGGTTAACTTGTTTGCTGGCATTGTAGTAAAGGCTTTAGACTAGCTGCCCCACATTTATCAAAGGTTCCTCCCCAACCAAAGCCACCCATTTCAACACAAGTTTCCGAGGTCATAAATTGTTAATGGGAAGAGACTTTCCATCTTTTTCTCAATGGGCCTCTGGTGAACCTGAAGTGCTAGAGATACTGGCCACTGAGTTAGCAGTGCAACTTACTAGGGACTAAGACAATAGAGTATCCATGGACACCCAGTGGGTTTGGTTTGTCTATTGTTTACTGGGAACATGTGACCATGTTCTATATGAACTTTTTTTTTTTGTCCTGGAGTGATTTTATTTTATTTTAACTTCTCATCAACTTGGTCTTTTAAAACTGCATCAGAAAACTTGGTATTAAAGACTACGATGGGTGTTAATTTATGAGGATTGCTTTACTTGAACTTTCCTAGATTACTAGACAGGAATAAGAGTCTGCAATACATTTAGCATTTCTCTTTCTGATAGCATACTATATATATTCAGGTTTTTGTCTAACTAATTATTATGGTCTTGATATACCTGAAAGGGTCTTTATAAATTATAGGTAGATTATATTGTTGTTATGTGCCGTTGAGTTGCCTGTGACTCATAGTGACCCTTTGCACAACAGCCCTAAACCTTGCTCTATCCTATGCCAATCTCATTGTTTCTGACACACCTACCTCCTTACCCCAGTCACTGAGTCAATCCATCTCATCTAGAGACTTCCCCTCCTGTGCTGTCCCTCTACCCTCCCAAGCATGATATCCCTCTCCAAGGACTGGTCCCTCCTTGCAACATGTCCAAATTATGTCAGATGAAGCTTCAGAATCCTTTCCTCCAAGGAGCAGCCTGGCTTCACCCTCTCCAGGATGAACTTGTTTGTTCTCCTAGCATTCCATGTTATATTCAATACTCTTCTCCAGCACCACAGCTCAAAGGCATCAATTCTTCTATCACCCCTAGTCATTGTCCAGCTCTCTGATTTGCAAGTGATTGAAAAGACCATGGCCTGTATCAGGAGCACCTTAGTACTAGAATGACTCGTTGCTCTTCAATACTTTTAGAGAGGTCTGAGAGCAGACTTTCCTAATGCAGTAAGTCTTTTATATTCCAGGGATGCTGGTTCCAAGAGTGTTAACTGTGGAGCCAAGCAAACTAAAGCTGTTATTAATCTCAGTCTCTTCACCATTTATCATGATGCTGCCAATTAGACTAAGATAATGACATTATTCTTATAAAAAACTCAAGCAGACTCAATTAACTAGGATTCTCCCCATTAAAACAGATAAAAACCTCCATTGTTGTCAAGTTAGAATAATCTAAATAACTATAAATGTAAATTATATGACTTTGAGTCTATCCCACCTGAATTTCAGAACCATCTCAGGAACAGGTTTGAGGCTTTGAACACTAATGAGCGAAGGCCAGATGAGTTGTGGGAGGATATCAAGGGTATCATCCAGGAAGAGTGCAAACGGTCATTGCAAAGACAGAAGAGGAAGTGAAGACCAAAATGG